TTTACTTTTTTACAATAAACCAACATGTTCACTATTATAGTCTACACATGCTGGCGTGTGTGTGAGAAAGAAACTAATGGATATTATTATTTGTTTCTATGACACATTTACTTTCAATTGCGATTTCATTCATTGGATTTTATTGCCTCAAAACTGATTTATTCTATTATTTCATCTGACTCCTTTGAGACGTCAGCTCAGAGCCCATCAAACTAAAGAAAATCCAACTTCCAGATGTCATTCATTGGAACTACAATGACAGCAGACTATAAGGTGGATGATAGAAAATTACTTTAAATTATTGGTTTTTAAAGCAGGTATGGCTATATAATTCAACATTAAATAAATGTACTAATTTAAATATAAGTAGACGGCATCATTTAATGCCAGACTTTTCAGACAGAAAAAATGACCAGAGGTCCAAATATGTAAAATGACAAGGGCGTTAAAACAGTCTGAACCCCTACATTTAAAGAATTTTTTTTTCCCTCCAAATAAGAAAATGTTAAGTTTCTAAATAAAATAGAAATAGAACTCAATCATTCAAAGCTAAAATGCAATTCAAATAGATATAATTTTCTCCTGTTTGTGATTAGGGAAAAACATCATTAACTCAAAAAGCCTCAGCCCTTTTTATTCAAAATGTTCATTTGTGTAATGATTGTTGTAAACATTAGTTTTTTCTTGTTATAAAACCCTTTCAATGCAGTTATCTAAGACATTGTCTGCAGTGCGTAGAATTGCGTCTCCCATGATGATCTCTGACCTTTGGATAAAAATGAGGACCTGAGCTGATGAAATCACTTCAAGTCCTCATGTCTGGGCTGTGCTCCAGGTTTCCAAATGGAGTAAAACTTGACCTAATCATGCACTAGAGGTTTTGGCTGGCTGGAAACTTGGACATGTGTTTATGAAGGAAAACACAGGCAATCTCTGGGCGGTGGGCTAAAGTTTCACTCTGTGTATATAGTGAGTACCTGGTGTCATGTCTCTATACCCTCCTATGATGCCTTCATTTCTAAAAATAGGACACAAGTGTTGTGAACTATATTTAAAAAGCACCTCAGTCTACAGACTCAGAGGCTGGTCTAATCTAAGCAGTTTAAAACTAAAGCTTTCAAGTCTAATACAAGGTCTTATAGTGCAATTCTTTAAAAGTTATTTCTGTTTCACTTCTGTTGGCCATGTATGGTAAAACTGCTCACAGCCGACTCCCTAATCACACTTTCCAGATCCCAGGAAACCTCTTTGAGGAATGGAAAGTTATTGCAGCGCAACATGTGAAACAGTATGCTGGACAAAAACTTCTAACTTTGCCTCTTAGATTAAAGGTCAGCCCTGTAAGCCCTCTAAAATTAATCTGAAGTGGAGGCAAACATGACAAATAAGGCAAAGGCAAAAGAATCCCAGCTACTCACGGTTGCGTGTTGAGACACAGCAGTCCTCTTTCCAAAGCAGCAGATCCTGAGCTGCTCCCAGCAGCTTGAGAGGCAGCAGTGCTGGAGCTCCTCACACGTCTGTCAGCCGCTCAGCAGCTGCGTCCCATAAATCCAGAGCTGGGAGAAGCATCCAGGCTGATCACCACGAGACGGCGCTCCCACTCTGACTCTGTCCTACAGACATTTAAACATCACCATCAGTGGGGGGCTGAGTGAGAGAGGGAGAGACAGAAATGGAAAGAGGAGGAGAGGGCAGAGCTTCAATTACTCACACATCCACATAGAGCCATCCACCGTGAACAAAGACAGCTGTTTTTCATGCACAGAGTCACTTTCACTGCCCAGCCCTGAGCCTGATGAAGTACCTTCTAATCTGAGACTTCAGTCATGGCTCTCAACATGAAGCTGGACTTTCACATTGCTCCGCTGGGGGGGCAGTCAGTAGGTAAGTTTAGTGAATTTACTGAAATGTAAATTCTTTCAGAGCTGTTGAATTACATTTGAAGCCCCCACAACTCTATGAAGAACCATCTAAAACTAAATCATCACCCTTATAATGTTAAACCAAGGACATAACTCTATCCATCCTTGTTCTACCATCCAAAATTATTACTTTTAAATAAATATTCCGCTTCACATAAAACATTTGCATATGTAGTTTTCATTCATCTACATTGGTTGATGCATTGCTCTTAAACTAATCAGCTAAACTTGTAGACCAGGGCTTCCTGAGCAAAGATGTGATTGAATACATGTTAAACAGAGACAAGTTACAATTAATGGCTCCCTTTGAATTTACAGCATAAATCTAAGTTTAAAAACTGTATAAAGATCATTTCCCAGTTTTCTTTTAAACACATTATAAATGTCATAAATCTTTGTTTTGTGTAAAAAGTCTCCCTACATTTATAATTGCACTGTGGCACTAGAATTAAATTTGGGTTTCAATATTCTTGTGCCACAGGATTTTTTTGGATGTGTCTACAATCGTGGCCTTGTGAGGTCATGCAGCTGCAGTATTTAAAACGGGCTGCTTCTGCATTGTGACTTGGTCACTATATTTAAAGTCTTTTTTTCCCACAGTTTCTTTTCATTAAAAAGGGAGCAAATCCACATCTTGATCCTGTCTTGTTAGAGACTATTGGTGTGTTTGAATCCTTTGTAGATTACTCTAACCCATGATTAACTGCAACTTAAAGCAATCGGCTGCTCCATGCTCAGAAAAAGGAAAATGGCAATGAACATCCATCCATTATCTGACACGCTTGTCCCAATTGGGGTCGCGAGGGGTGCTGGTGCCTTTCTCCAGCAGTCAATGGGCGAGAGGCGGGGTACACCCTGGACAGTCCATCGCAGGGCAAAACAGAGACAAACAACCATTCATGCACGCACTCACACCTAAAGACAATTTAGAGAAGCCAATTAACCTAACAGTCATGTTTTTGGACTGTGGGAAGAAGCCGGAGTACCCGGACAGAACCCATGCTCAAGGAGAACATGCAAACTCCATGCAGAAAGATGAAGAAACCCGAGAATCAAACCCAGAACCTTCTTGCTGCCAGGCAGCAGTGCTACTCACCGCGCCACTGAGCAGCCCTGGGAATGAACAGTGGTGAAAACAGTAAGTGTAATTTAATAAAATGCGAGAATGTGAATAGGTTTGTCTTAAAATTAACGAAATATAATTCGCAGGTAACTTTTGTTTTATTGAATGGCTTTATCTTTTCTTGTGCAAATGGGTTTGGTTGACATTTAAGCACAGATTTCAGTACCTCTGCAGTGTGGGAACTACAAATCTGATATCTGTGACAGCGGTACTGCTGCTGAAGCTCCTCAGAAATTAAATTAGCACAGTAGTGAGAAGTTGGCCATCCTTTCTTTGCCTGCTTTGTGCGCCAACTTGCACAGTTTCAAGGCAACAGAGCGTACACTGAGTGAGGGTCTGTGACGGTCGGAGAAGACTGGACCTGTTCGGATCTATAGCTGAACTCTTCCAACCTCCTCATTTTCACGGCCTTCGAAGGACCCAGTCCAATACAATACAGTACAATTAAGTGAGCTCAACCCTGCGGTATTACTCCAAGCCTATCCAGTTTAGCAAATCCACAACAATGAAAAGGGAAATAAGTCAAAATGAAAAGTCAAACATGGTGGCGGCATGAATAAGAAGCCAAATAGCCTGGTTGAACAGACTACATCCCACCCACTGTACTGTGTGGTGTGCACTGCAGGAGTGAAGAGCACATAGCAGATAAAAATAAAACACTAAAACATGATTTCATCTGGTTAGTTGGACTTTTTAATTCAATGTTTCAGCTACAATAATGCTGGAAGCTGATGCCATGGTTGCATTGTATTAATATTAGAAGTGATCGGTCTGAGTGAAATAATTTCCTCCCTTCTCTGCAGGGACTCTGATGCAGCAGCTGCAGTCAATATCCATTAAGAGAACAGAGCAACTCTCCTGTTTCACACAAGCGCAAAGGTCCCACGGATCCCCCTTAATAAATAATTTGAATATATTATTTTAAAAACTATATACCTCTCTCAAAATCGTTGTGATGTTATCCCAGAGGCATGTGGAAGGCTGTGAAATCAATAAATTTACCATAAAACATATAGCTATTACAATCGTAGAGGGTACATTTTATTGTAGCAAAAATACCTTTGAAAAAAAAAATGCAAAGCACTGGTAGATACTTTTAAACCTTTATTCTGACCAGACATGGATACATAAACTTATTTTTCTCCCAAAATGTACTTATGCTTAACCCGCATAATTTTTGAAGTAATGATACTATTCCTCACCAGTTTTATTACTTTATTAGATGAATAATAGCCTAGTAAACTAGCCCCAGCCGCCATAATCATTTTTGCCTGCTAAATTACACAGTCTGATTTATCAGGCTAGAATGACACATTTTAACCAAACATGTAGATAAAAACACACCATATTCAGTTAACAGAAAAATAGAACACCTTTGTACTCAACATCCTCTGATCAGTTTTTACACCCTCAATCTCTTAAGTCTTCGCTGAAATTTTTTTTTTTTTCTTAAAATAAGTGCATTTGCTCTTGGATGGAGGTAAGTGAGACACTTTGCCAATAGAATAAGACAATTTACATTTAACAGAAAAAAAATTGCATGGTCTTATAACTGCATATTATTTAATAATCCTATTTTAAGAGTAAAAATACTAATCTCATTGGTAAATCATCTTATTTATCTGCTCAAAGTAAGGGTAGATACACTTAATATTGACTTATTTCTAGAATTTTTTTTTTGTGTGTTTTAAATAACTTGGTAGGCAGGTAAATATACAAAGGACCATACATCATGGTTCCAAAGGATTGGTCACAAGGGACATTTGGGAACCCTTGAAGTTAGTGTCAACTCTTTGAAATGTGCAAATTCCAACATTAAAATGCCAATATTTGCCATTTTTCAAACCTAAATATTTGTTTACTTAAAACACATTTAAAACTTGTTTTCTTATTGTTTGAATTATGGGCTACTATAGCGACCTCATCTACTAATAATGAGAACCATTCCATAACTTGGCAGCATTGCTTACCTACAGCAGGCATCTACAAGGCAGATTTCCCTTTGCTTCAACACACCTGATTTCCATTAATGACTGATTTATGGAACTGAAATCATGGGTGTTACATCAGGGAAATTATAAAAGAAAAAAGGCAGGCCTCCTTGCATCTTGAACCAGGGTTGAAAAACAAATCCAGGGATGGCCAAGTCCAGTCCTGTAGAGCTGCCATCCTGCAGCTTTTAGATCCGTCTCTCCCCCAACACACCTGCATGAGATCAGCGGCTCTATAAGTTGCAGGATGCAAATGTGTAAGTTTTGCATCCTGTAGTAAAACCTAGACTGCAGCTGGTCTTTATTTCTGGTTTAACACCATTTATGATCAATGGAAATGTAAGAACACATGCTAAACCGGAAGAGGTGCTTTTATAGAGCAGTTTGAAGGATTGGGCACTAATGATGTTTGAGTCGTTCTCTAATATTTCAGGATACGTGAATCTTATTTTTCGTCACAAGATCCAGGAATTCAAAAAGTGTGTAAACTTCAGAGGGCCTTTGTTAAATGTAAAGACTGAGCAGCTGTTTTCTGTACGGGCTTAATGTTGGGAGGACCTGATGGATGTTGCATACATGTCAGAGGCGTAAAGCCTGCGGTTTGTTTGGTCGTTGTTGCTTGGGGTGACACTGTGCGGTGACAAAGGGAGGGTTAACGACATCCATCACTGAAGCCCTTCACATTAGCCCTGAGCCAACATTTGAGTTTCTTTACATTCCTTTATAAACAAACTAAACCTCCATACCCAGACATTTTCTGTTGCTCAAAAAAGGTAGACATGCATCATAAATAAGTTGAAACATTTGTACAAAACTAAATATTGAAGGCTAACATCTTAAATAAATTAAACTTTGTTAGCAGCAACAAACCAAATCTATTTGAACCTACAGAATAGATGAGATATGATAAAAATACTTTATTGATCAAACCAAATCATTTAAATGTTAAAGGAAAAAAACTTTTCCTATTTTTTTTTTAATCTCTTTTAGAGGCTTTTCTCAACGGCTTCATTAATTCTAGTGGATGTTCACGTGCATACAAGTATAACTATTTGCATATCTTTATTAACTAAAGCTAACATGAAAATGTGTGGTGTGATGGATGAATCAAACATACTTTGGAGAAAATATAATCTAGTTTAAAACAGGACAAAACCACTTTTGTCTTTACATTTTTATTACACCTTTCATAAACAGCTCACAACACAGGAGAACCTGTAAAGGACGAAAAAAGAAAACCAATTAGAATTACAAAAATCAAACCATACAACAGAAGAGGTGTGGGGAAGTAGACTTTCCCTCTTTACCTGTTTATGCTTTCTCTGCGGCCGCCTCCTCATCTCCACCCTTGGTGTTACGTGTGTAAATCAGCTGAGCTCTGTGTTTGGACACCAGTTTGATCATGCCTACAAGACAAAAAAGAACACCTTTAAAAAAAACAAACAGGCTGCTTTCACATAATTTTTAACAGTGTCCTGTCAATAGCAATAAGACGAGTTGTCTTGTTTCAAAAAAAAAAAAAGCCCAGATTTTGCTCTTACAAGTGGAGCAG